GAACTTCAATTTTTTTTCCCAGACTCGGTCTGAATAATTTTTGGTCCCAAATTTGTATCAGTTTTTCTGGTAGTCCACTGTATGAAGACATTTTGGGTATAATTAGTCACTTTACTTTATTTTGCTATCCTCACTTACATAAATGAACTATAGTGTCCTGCACCCACTAGTAAAAAAACTTTGTCTGAATATGGCACTTAACACATGCTGTGTGGTATCGGCGTTTGGTATCGGGGCATTTTAACGAGTACGAGTACGAGTACAGGAGCTCAGTATCGGGCCCGATACCAATACCAGTATCGGTATTGGTGCATCCCTATTGGTCAGTATTATGAATTTGACCAATTCATTACAAAATCTGCATGGCGAAATCTTTCACCCTTATATACAATTACTGATCGCATGGATTCACAGCAAAAATTTGGTGAACAACGGTAAATGTTACCAAACTTTAACTGTGCGTGCAAATGTACATGATGACTAGCAAGAACATTATAAGCTTTTAAGTAATGTTCACCAGGCCTACCTGATTTGCTAAAAGGCAGGTAGGTGTTTTAGTTGGAGTGGGATTAACGCTTGCGATACGTTTTCAATCAGTTGGCAAAGGCTTTTAGTTTTACTCTTCTTTGCACCTAGCTGCACATAACTAGTTATGGTGTGTCTTTTCATCCATTCATGACATCAAAACTGGCCTTTGCAAAGAGAATAGGTTAGAAAAATTGGAGCATTTTAGCTCTGCAACTCTCAGAGTGTGTGCCAGTTTCTGTTTTTTTATTTTTATTTTTTTCACCTTCTCGGGGCCAAAAACACCTGGCAAGATTGAGGGCATTTTCTCACTATACTCTGAACCACTGTCCGTCGGAAGGATTAAAAAGGCAGGATTTGTAGGATTATTTTTCCCTGGCACCAAAATCTCCAAGAGGCCCCCACAGGCTAAATGTAAGCAACATTCCCAGACTTTCCAGAAGCGTCTGGAATCACCTAGCACCCATGTGCCCTTACCACTTAAACTGTCACAGACCAGGAGCTTCACTACTACTACACACCTATGAAAGATCCTTAGTAGAGTACATTCCTTTCACTCTTTAATACATATTTTGAGGAACCCAAGAACTTTACTGCCTCATATCATTTTGATACTTCTGGAGGACTGTTAATCCATTTTCTAAATTCAGCTGTTGATAATTCTTCAAAATTCTCACACTGTAAAATATCTGACCGTAAATTATAATACATATGCCGACCTGATACAATGATAAATATTACACTGTGAATTTATTTTCACCTCCCATGATTCTACAGGAGTTTAAGCGCCAGCATTCAGTCATGCACAATCTCTCTTCTGTGGCCTCTAGGCGTCTATGAACTGACAGTCTCTCTTTTTGAAATATGTTTTAAATAATTCCACAATATATTCAGAACGGGTGGACGATTTTCTTCCCGTGACTCGGTCCAAGCTCAACACACCTATGAAATCACGGCAAGTGAAAACGGTAACATCTAAAGCAAGACGCAGAAAAGTGAGGGCAAACTTGGTAAACATGACACAACTCTTGTAAATACAGCTAAAATGGAAGAAGGAGAGCAAAAAGAAAATGGGAGATGGAGGAAAAGGCCTGGCAAACTGCAAAATGGCCATATTTTAGCAAAAGTGACTTTTCTGATTATGCCTGTCGCATGACTTTATTTCCTTAAGCGCAGTGTTGTTGCCTGGACTCAAGTCAAGCATTTGATGTCCTCAACCACATACGCCCTAGACTTCAACAGTGCTCTTTTTAAAGCCAAATGTTAAGGGGAAAAAAGAGCTAAGCTGGTTTTGTCAGCCAACAAGTACCTGCAATTCAGAAACTATAAAGAAAACAACCTTGGCTAAGACAAGAATGGACAGAAACATTGGGTTAAGATTTATATACTTTCTCACTCACCACCCATCAACTGGTGGTTAATGGTTACAGTCTTTACCTTTGAAGTATGAGATTTCCATTTTTCTTTATGCTCATAATTTCTTGTCCATGCATTTCAGAGAAAATGTGTTAAACTACTAGTTTTACTTGTAGACTGCATTACTACATTTGTTACTTGTTAGAAAAACATATTTGAAGAAAACTGACATTCATTTCATGGACAGCTTCACTTTAGCAAAACGGGCTTAGATGTTAAATTGAAGGCAAATATTGATAGCAGGTGGATCTCACAAGGTTTGGTTCTCACATGGATCTCCACAAAGTTTGGTTGGTTAGCTTGTTAGCCCTTGCTGGTAAGTGCTGAAACTACACCATTATGTGTGCAAAGCAAATCTCCATTCATGGGAGATTCAAGCAAGATATAAATTGTAAATGTTAATGTAGATGATTTGCCCCTAACCAAATTTTTTGAGAGGCTTGTAAAACCATGAAATTGACTTTAATATAATTTTTTTTCTTGTCTGCTTCCTTCAACATCATGCTCATGCAACAGCAGAATAGTTGCTAGTGAAGGGATTGGGACTGTGTCCGTTTTTGTAGTGCCATCAGCCAGAAAGCACTGTCAGGACCTGCCAGTGCTGCCAGGCACTACTACAACCCTACATTTGCACTCACCTCCAACTGCGAAATTATAGTCAAATAAGCTTGTCTAGTTTGCATTATGCAGTCGTTAACTGTGAATGATGAAAACCTTATTTTTTTTGGAGCTGATTGACATCAATCTACTTTGAATCCTGAAACCTCAACGTGCTGCGTTCTATTCAGCACCTGGACAAAAACAAGTTTCAGGAATAGGAGCCAAAGCAAGGCTAGTTTGTGGCTGATTACGCTCTGAAATCATTTGCACAAATATGCAAGCTATTTCCTCCAGGTCAGGGTCCTTAATTTTATCCTACCTCAAGCAATGCTATCTAAAATTATTTTGCTAACAAATAAAACTTGAGCATTCTTCCAAACATTCTAATAACCCATTTACAACTCTATAGAGGAATAGTGAGTATAGTTTGATTTAAACTCAAAAGTACCAGAAATTTGTACTGCTCAATGCAAATGCACTTGCACAAATGCAATAATATTCCCTATACATTCTTTTACCTCTCAATCTCTCTTTCAGTCCTTTGCATCGAAGCCTCTTCTCTCAGCTGTTCCAGTCTTCAGTTCACTGGGATTGATACAATATTTTCCTACCTCAATTAGCCAAGGGCCCGTTGACTAATTCTAACTGTTTTTGCACCTGAGAGTTTGGGAGCGGGAGTTGGAAAAAGTGAGAGGGAGAGTCAGTGTGGGGCTGTTTGGGCAACGCAGCAGTGTTGATGGACGCTGAGGGCTATGCAGAGGACAAGGTGGATAGCAGCAAAGCAAAATCAATGCAAAAAACAGTTCTGATTCTGAACTGAATTATGAAAACTGCATTTCAAAGCCCTTTTTATGAAAATCTAAAATGTCCTCTACTAAAGGGAACCCTGGAAGGAAAGAGAAGGCAAGGAAAGGCAATACTGAGAAATTCTGCAAGGCTAGTAAATGCAGGATACCTTTCTGTAAAGGGGACCCTCTTTGCTAAAAAGGACCTTAATTCAGGGAAAGGAAATGAGAGGATGGTAAGTAAATGTGCAAGCAAATTGTTTCTGAGGGCTGTACAGTTTCATCCAGCTGTACCAAGTACAAGCATCTAAGCTGATCTGAGAGAGCCATGGAGAGCAGAAACTTGTAAACAAATGTAATGCAACAGTTAAGATCTGCACAGTGGCAGAGCAGTTAAAGCAACCTGCTTGGAAAAAAGTCTGACTCACTCTCTTTTGCAACAACACACACTTACACAACAGCCAGGGTCAACCCACTGTGATCTCCATGACCCAGACCAGTTAAATCCCAAATTCAAACAAATGGAAAGCCCTGCTGAACCCTGACACAAGATGACATAGAGTAAAACTCCAGCTGGAAAAATGGGATCAAACTGGGAGGCAGGGGAAAAGTGATTTGTAAGAAACATCTTGTTGATTTATCACTGCAGGGTTTCTAAAGACCAAATGCACCTGCTATTTCAAAATGAAATGCTAATCAAACATCCACAATTTTCAGTAAAATATTAAAGTGTCAAAGTATATACAAAACACTCAAAGAAAAAATGTGAAAAAGTTATACCTTTAGGGGTACAACAGTTCTCCACTGAGGCACTATACTTAAAGGGAAATCTTTGTACCTTATTTATTCCTAAAGAGTTAAAAGACGAACCTTAAAGGTACACTGATACTTTGATCTACTAATTTACACCTTTTAGAAGTAAAAAGTCATCATCCCTTTAATAGTACCAAACCAGTGACAAGCTGTTGTACCCCTAAAGGTATAACTTTTCTGACAGTGTACAGAGCATTTTAAGATTCTACAACAAAGCATTTATGTTGAATATATGTTGAATTTGCATGATAATTTGACACTGTACCTAACTGCTGATTAAATTTAGTTGTGCTTACATTTTCTGATTAAAACTGAAGGATTTGCTATTTAGTTTTAAGCTAAATTCCCCTGCTTATTTCAATAAAGAAGTAAGTTTCTACCTCTGAGTAAAAAATAAAATAAGCAATAGACAAAGTGGGACATAAAGACACAATAACAAGAAGTCACAAGTAACAAGAAATAGTCACATTGTGAGATATGAAGTCGCAATTATAAGATATGACATTGCAATTAGGAGATATAAAGCTGCAATTATGGGAGATAAAGTAACAATTACCTTTTTATATATTTTTTTGTCTCTAGGGTGGAGACAGACTTCCATATTTCAGATCGTAGTATTTTACGAGCCAGTATAACAGCGAAGGGCCTTCATTTTCCAATTAAGTGTTTTGCGTATTACAAATCCTACCCAGCAACACCTTTGTACATACTCATAAAAGTCTGACCCTACGAGCAGAAGAATAAAAGAGCCATAAACCACAACTGATAAGAGAGTCGATGGAAGATCATAAAAACCAAATGAGCCCCACTCCCTTTCTGCAGGGACACATGCATGGAGACAAACACTGGGCATCTACTCACTGTCAGGGTAATTCTTCCGACGGGTGCCATCCACCTTGCCTGTCTTGTCGATGCAGAGAAAGAACTTGTTGGCGGAATAGAGGCGCCGAAGGCGGACGTCACCCTCGAGGTGGTTGTAGCTGCGCGTGTGCCGCTCCAGTGTCCACGAGCAGTTTGTGCCCTGTGCCAGCGCATGAAGGGGGTCATGCCCCAGTGCAGGTGGGCAACCTCCAAGAGAAGAGCAAGCCAGAAAGAGCAGGGATAGGCATAACAAGGGAAAAGGATAAGAAGGGAGGGCTGAGCCGGCAAAGGTGAGGTCGGAGTGGAGACCAGCGGTAGTAGGTGTCCATTTGCACATGATGGGTCAGACTCCCAAGGTGCACCTTGCACAAGTAGTCGGCATGATGCTGGTCTTCGCTGGGCACTCTGCCTCACACAGAACCCGTAAGCAGGAGCATGGGAAGAGAGGGTAAAAAAATCCTGAGTGACCAATTTCAAACTCAAGTGTATCACTTTAGTCTTTTAACCAGCTGTCTGTTGGTCTTGCTCTTCAGAATGATGAATGAGAACTTTGCAATTCCATCCCAAAGAAATGTCTCAATCTTGTTAGATTGTCCTGGAGTATCCAGGTCCCTCAGTCCAAGCTGGTAGAGTCGTGGGATCCTGTGTCCTGTGTGATGGCTGCACCTTGCAGAGCTCTCTCCTCTCAGCCAGGGGCAGAGCAAGGTGAAATGTGAGGCTGTCTGACCCGTGCCTGTCAATGAGCTAGTTGAATGAGTGTATTTCAATGAGTGCCTGTGTGTCTGTGTAAGAGAAAGATTCAAAAAGACTACCAAGAGAAAGAGAGGGAGAGGATAAGATAGAGGTGGCAGTGAGAGTAAGTCTGACGGACTCAACAAGGCAGTAAAGCTGTAAATGGGTGTCTTTCTCTCTCTCACTCTCTGTGCCTTGCTGTCTGCCTGCTCTTTGGTGGGGTGGTTCAGTCCTTTCCTGCATTTTATTCAGGGCAGGGCTTGCATCTGGGGGACTGAGAGGAGATGGGTGGGGCCTGGATTATTCATAATCACTTTAAGTGAATGTCACTCTCAATATTGTTTACCCTTTATCGTACTGTCATTCATTTCCCTTCACAAAACTGATCATCCTCAGATGTGCCATATCACTTTACATCCCGCCCTGAACCAAAATAAACTGTTGCCATCACAAGTGATTTACAGCATCTGTGGAGGTTAATCATCAGGTAAATAACAGGTAATAAATACACTCAATTTAGTATGTACAGAAGTAAAGTTAAGGTCTTTATAACCACTTTAAAAATGGATACATTTGAGCAGCGAAGATTAGGTCTCCCTTACCTGTAATGGCACTTGTATGTGGACCAGACCTTCCCAATGGACATTTGAGTCAGCTTATGACCTGGTGAATATGATGCTGCAATTTTATTCATGAACAGCTGGGAGCCTAAAAAGTGCTAATTTTCTGATAGGACACCAAGTAAAATATTTACAACTACCTTGTTTATCTGTCTTCAAGATGTTGTGAGCTTTACTCAAGATGAGTGGCATGTGGTGGCACATTTGTCTAAGCGAACCTCTGCTCTGAAACACTAACATACTTTTCATATCCTCCTGGTTTCAATGAAGTGTGCAGCCCAGGGGCAGAGGGTGAAAATATTCTTGAAGGTGTGTTTAACCAGGAAGAGTCTTCACACTTTGTAGCTAGTAAACTAATAGGTCTCTGACGCTTTAGCACTCATACTTAGCCTATAAAAGCCTATGGAGACAGCAGTCTGCAGTCTTTTTCAGCTCCCCGCAGTCATTCCCTTCTCCTTGGGCATTTCGGCCTTTGAGTTTCTTGCTACTGTACTTCAAAGCCTATTCTTTTTTTTCTAGTCTCATACATCTTAGTCCTTCATCCCCAATTAAACCTAACTGAAGTGGACCCCTACCTTTAATTTCTCTCCTCCCTGTCAACATTTATGCACCTCACAAAAATGGATGGCACAGAAAAGTACCCATCACTGTCATGCTGCGTGCTTCTACAGCTGGTTACGGTCTGAGAAAAAGCTGTAAAAGTGGATGCAGATTTAATTAGTGAAGCTTTCTAAGGCAGAATAACTATTACTTGCTCATACTTAATATTAGGGTTTTGAACAAACCCTTAACTGTAAGTATTAAACTTTGAGCTCATCCTGCTCGGTTAATTCTACAGACATGTGTAATACCTCCGATCATAGTTAATTCAGGAGAGGCATTACTTTTCTAAACAATGAGATATGTGATTTATGATTGCTGGATTACCTGAGCTGTATCTAAGGACCAGAAAATTCACAGATAGAAACTTGTAGATGGGCTATTTTGACTTTGACCACAAAGAAATTACCAAAATCACTGCAGCAACCACATAGCAATGCTCTTAAAACTGCTCAGAACATCTTAGGATGTCAGATAGCAATGCCCTGAACAACTCCCAAAAACCTAGAAGTTGGCAAGTTTTGCACAGCAAAGCACCAGCGCCATTTTTTCAGATAATTTCAAAACTTCGAAGTCTCAAAAAGAATGTCCATATAATGTTGCTTTTCAAATTCAGCATATCTAGGTCATAACAGAAATGTGGAGTTCAGAAACAGGAAAGTCACCAGATAGCATATTCCAAGTGAACACTGACAATACTGTATAGACAAAGTTTTGTAGCTAAACGTAAATAACTTATGCTTTGTTCTTTCTTTTTTGACTATTGTACAGATGTACAGATGTACCCTTCCATGCACATAAGGTATGAGCAATCTTGTGCCCCACCAGCACACTCAATGACCCCGGAAGTCCATAAGATCAGCTCCCGCTTCCTTGGAGATTGATGGTAATTAGATTCTTTTAGGGGAAATGTAAGATGTTGCACTTAGGGGCTCAAGAACAAAGTTCTGTCCCCATAAGAATGTCAGATGTGATGATAAATATGCTCAAACTAATATGTTGATGCTAGTCCCTCTGTTAAATGCATGTCCACAACACAGCTCTTTCATTCAGGACACAGCAGCACAACTGCCATGATCTAAACATTTCAAGAAATCTTAAACATGGCTGGCAAGAATCTTAGAATGATTTCTGAAGGATCACGTGACTCTGAAGACTGGAGTATTTGACAGCTGAAAATTCAGCTTTGCCATCACAGAAATAAATTACATTTTAAAATATCTTTATATAGTTATTTTCAATTGTAATAATATTTTACAATAGTATTGTTTTATTACTTGTATGCTTTTTAAATGTGAAATATTTTACAGATTCTGAAAAACTGTGAATTTAATGTACTGGAAAACAAACAAGCAAAAGAAAAACATATGAAACTTAATCTTGATTGACATGACCTCAGAGAAAAGGTATCTATCTCTAATTCCACACATCGTTGGCCGTCAATAGGCCTCTGCTTTGCTCCCATGATGCCACGCTATGCCGGTTGCGCCCTGAGCTGAGAAAATCTGTTCGGCCATGTGGGATGTTCACTGGCGAAAGGAACCTAATCTTTCCCAGCAGGGCTCCCATCAACTCTGGAAGTGTATGAATGGAGATAATATCTCTGTAATGAGGCCTGTTTTGTACCATCAAAGTCCTCCAAAAGGGCCTGAAACCCGACCTCCCTCTTTGCGCCGACGAGCTCCCCCTAATAGCTCCCATTATTAATTGTTTTCTCTCTCCTGCTAACATACGGAGTCTCTTCCAGTCCCCCTCCATCACCCACCTCCACTGCCAACACGAACTCGGTCTCCGTTTCACTTCTGACTACCTCAGTTGACATTTATAACTAACGATAAATGGCATCAGCCTAAAAAACCTACATTTTATTTCATTTTTCATAACACATATTCCATGGTCTAGTTATTTTGCCACTCCCAAATTATTGGCTTATTTTAAAATAAGATTGTGGTGAATCACACTATCACACTGCAGTTAGGCAATGTACTATGAAACTCTCATGTCAACCACAGACTTCCTGCTAGATTCCTTCGACGCAGGTGGCCGAGATAACCAGAGTGCCACACTGTGTGGTCGCCTGCATAAACATCTGTTTCTAATTCAGGATCTGTCCACTGCCGCCACAACTGAAGATCAATCTACAAGCCTATTTGCATTTCCTGCTTCGTGATCATTGTTCATTGTAGCCGAAACCAGTGATAAGTGAGCAGTCTATCTGATCAAAAGCTCCTGAGAGTCTTCATCCTCTCGGGATAGTTGACAGAGATCTACACGTGATAAAATGGACTGTTACTTTTTAAAGAAAAAAAGATTGCGGATATGATTGGTGGACTTTCATCATTAGCGATAATCAAAGAGAGATGTGTCTCAGATGTGGGATATATTTGGTACTAATTGTAGAAACTCAAACAAATCTGCCTTCAAGTGCCATGAGGATATTATTATTATTTTTTTCATATTTTAAGAATTGTCTCTGAATTATTAGTACTGACAGGTGTGGAGAGATTTTCCTAAATGTGTTGCATGAGGGTATGCTAACCCTCTCAATGTGGTTGTAAAATACACCTAGCATTGGTATGTTTAGAAGACTAAAATCAGAGCGAGAATTTTTCTCTTTCCAGAATTTTTTACTGTCCTTTTTCCAAAACCTCAACTCATACTTGCATGAAGCATTGACTAATCAAGTGAACATTTTAAAAGCAGCTCCTACTTCTAAAAACAAAGAAACACACCCTTCATATAGGTGTGCAAAGAAGTCTGAATATCAGAGTCCCAGTGAATGGAGCCTTGTCCTGAAGTTATTTTCAGGGTCTTGTATGGCTCTCTTCTCTCCTTTTGTTGACAGCCAGTCACCCAGTAATGACTGTCACACCAGAGCTTGAAACGGTCCTGTCAGAAAGGTGACCCTGTGAACCGTAGCGACAAAAAACGTCTGATCTCCACCTACTAGATATGCACAACTTGCTTTGATGACTGCCATCGAACTGTCGATATAAATGTTTTACTGACTTATTTCAGAATTTAAAAAGATTTCAGAGAGCCTGATTACATGATGTTAAATAGCCTAATTGGGGTCAATAAGATTTTTAATGCAGTTATTTCATTAAAAATACGGTAAACACTAATTTATTCCTGTGATGGCGAAGCTGAATTTTCAGCAACCATTTCCGTGTCACATGATCAATGCAGAAATCATTCTAATAAGCACTGAATCAGGGTGCACTGCTCAAGAAACATTATTATTATCAATATTGACAGTAGTGGTAATATTTTTTTGTGGAAGGATTCTTTGATGAATAGATAGTTGAGAAGAACGGTGTTTATTTTAAATATAATTCTTATAACAATATAAGTCTTTACTGTTACCTTTGATCAATTTAATGCATCCTTACTGAATGAAAGTATTAATTTAAAAAAATAATAAAATCTTAGTGATCCCAACTTTATTTGTTACTCTCATCATCCATTTTTCATTTAACATTATGATACAAAGATTTAATTAG